GAGAGAGAGAGAGAGAGAGAGAGAGAGAGAGAGAGAGAGAGAGAGAGAGAGAGAGAGAGAGAGAGAGAGAGAGAGAGAGAGAGAGAGAGAGAGAGAGAGAGAGAGAGAGAACGAACTAGCGGAATATGAAACAATTAATAGAGACCATACATTGGCTGATTGCCAGTCATCTATTGCGATAGATGATACGAGCCTTGTGATAATTAGGTCAGCTTGAATTGATTACATAACCCATTTCATTTAGCGAGACGGCTATTGGGTCATTGGGATAAAACAGGTAGTGAGCAGCGAGAATATCTTACCGCTACAACAGTGAGGTTGGACTTCATCGACAGCAACCTTTTATCCATAGCAATTTTATGAGTCGTCAGTCCAGGTGGCTCAATCAGTTTACCTTTTCGCCATACACTCCGACAGATTAGTTATGTGGGCTTTGTTTCCGTGGGTTCTGTAAGTGCACTACTACTGTAATAAAGTAGCAACTATTGTTGCCTGTGATACACAGGTGTAATCGATATAATCAAGCGCACATTTGGTTTTCTCCCACGAACCCTCTTAGGCAGCCTAGTCCACTGTCCTGCTAGTTTCAGAATAAAACTACTTAATTTTTGTGCTGCAAGGGCGTGTGCCTGCGTTGGGCTATCCTGCTCCTCGAAGATTCTTTGAGAACAGCCACATATGTCGCTGACACCATCGATTCGATGGATCGATCGACAGCCTCGCTCGGTGAAGCCAGTATTCAAACAGATAGGTGAACGGCACTCAAAGAGCTGGTTGGATTGGCGCTAAGAGGTATCCACTTTCCTAAGCTGTTGTTCAGTGTGGAGCAAAGAACAAGCAGGAGTAAATCGTTAACCCGCGCACCGACGGGGGTCTGCGCCAACTTCGCACCGACGGGGGGGCGGATGACCGCCCCCCCCCCTGAGATCTCGAGAACGAAGCAAGATAGCGACAAGCGGTAAACGGCATCGGATACGCACGGCCAAGATCTACAATTTTTACAAAGGTCATTTTCAGGTCAGGTCAAAGATGACGTCACAGGGGTCGAAAAAGTCAAAATGGCGGCGCTAGATATGGAGAGAGTTTTTCTCGAATAGCTTTCGAATTAGTCAAGATAGGAACAAACTAAGGGCATCATCGCGATCCTCTCGTCAATCCGCATCGAATGATATATATGTTGACCTCGAAAGGTCAAGGTCAAAGGTTGACCTCAGGTCACGTGACCTCGAGGTCATCATGTATATCATTCGATGCGTCTTGACGAGCTGAACACAATGAGACCATCCACGCGTCTGTATCTTGTTCCTGTACGGAGTTATTGGCCAAAAACCTTTGGTGACCTTTGATGACGTCACATGACCTCACAGCTGCCCAACAGCAAAACAGACCTCAAGGTAGTGAAGGTTGATCGTATATGAAGTCATGTATGGTATATGGGGCCATTCCGACCCGTTTTAGTGGTAAAAACAGGGAGTTGATTTTTCCCCCATTGACTTATAATGGGGAGGTCGCGAAATTGACCTGACCTTAGGTCACCGATATCAAAATTCCGAGATATACAAATTGTAGCTACTAATGACCTAATAATATCCTGCGACTTTCAAAGGCCTCCGACATCTACTGTAGCTCTGGCACGGTGACAAAGTTGCAAAAAAGTGACTTGAGGTTGGGTCATTCAAAGTGACCTGGTGACCTGACCTTAAAAGATAGGAGGTTCAAACTTGCACACCATGTGTAAAATTGATGAGGTTATAGTCATACCAAATTTCGCGGCGCTACGCGCCGCGGTTTTCCCGCTATTCGCGAAAAACCTCAGGGGGGCGGATATCCGCCCCCCCGTCGGTGCGCGGGTTAACAGTCGGACGTAATTAGACAATTCGACGGTTTGAAGATATCTCCTCGACGCTGGAAACATTACATTGGAGGCGTGCAAATCGTACTAAGGGATTGTTTTATGCGTGATTAAGCCCCCAACTAAAGTGATGCGTGCTGCGAACAAACTTCAAACACCTTTGCTCCGTTTGTTTTTTTATATATATATATATATAATTTCTATAAATGCAAAACTCAGCAAAGTCACTTCCATTAGCAAATAATTGGAATTTGGGGATTTTAATTGGAATTGGAGTACCCTCATGGGTACTTTCCTGGATAATCACGTCGTTAATCCGCTTACCCGAAGGGTGTAAAAGCTTCTCCTTTCATACGAAGTGCGAAAAGAAATGTGTAGTGTGTACATTGTACAATGTACATACACCTGACTTAGCCATTGTTCTGAACGGTGTAACTGAAGATGTTTCTTCACCCGCCTTATGAGTGCATGTGACGTCCCAAAAGGAGTTAAGGCACCCAAATTCACTCACCTGTGGCGTGTACACGTTCAGATAGAGGCAATCCTCATCCACCTCCCGGACCCCGCGTCCTGGGCCGACGTACTTGGCCGGCTGGGGGCACGCTGGGCCGAAATCCAGCGCCTGCAACCGCTGCCAGCCGGGGTGCGCCCGCGGCGGCTGCGACAGGGCAGGTCAGGTCAGTGGTCTATGCTACAGTCATAGTTACACTATATGTGATAAGCGTCCTACAGGTCACGTTTCATTCATCAACGCACAAACTGAATAAATCTATTCCAATATTAGACGTGGTCAATAGGAACCGGTCAGTGGAAATAATCGCAATCAGCAAATCCAATCACCAATCAGCAATCAATTCCTCTCCCAGCCAACCATTGATCATTCAGTGATCAAAGATCAGCAACCAACCATCGAGCGCTATCCATTTTCTTTGATAGATATCATATATTCTGGCGAATGTGATGGGCTTCCATAATGTCATGCTCGTTTTTCAGTTTTTGTTTCGCAGTTTATCTAGCTTTCAGTGGTGTGGTGCATGAACTTTGAACCAGGTATAACATGATATCCGTAAATGTGAAACTGGACTGTGAAATATGCCAGTCAATATTGGTAAGGTACCAAACTTTTCAGGACACAGTGCAGCATGATGAGCAAATCATTGTGACCTTATATTGACCTAATAGTCTGCTGATTGACTCACGGGTGTGACACCGATACGCACAAACAATATTGACCATGATCGGCACGGCGGGGTTACTTGCATTTAGATACCTTGCCCGTAGTTTATTAGGACGGGGACCCGCAGTTGCTACTGTACACGAACTCCAACTCTAGCCGTCTGTCCTGTCCACTAACAACCGATAACATTGATATCGACTGCCGGTCCCTGTACAAGAGCAGCTGAGGTTTTCTGTACGTGCCCCCTGACAGCTTATCGTTGTTCCCTGTGAGGGTGCTGGGACAATTTACTCAGGGTCGCTGTACAGTAGCAACTGCGGGTCCCCGTACCATGGAGCGGGGACCCCGGCCAAAAACAGAAATATTTACAGCTGTAATACGGAAACATAATTATTGGACGGGGAAAGGGGGGGGGGGGGTCCAAACCCTCACGAAGGCTCGGTGGTGAGCCCATTGACAGGAACAATTAGTGCAGCAGGGGGTGTTGTCCCCTCCCCCCCCCCCCCGGGAGGTTAAGGTCTAGCGAGCCGATTTTCAAAATTCAAACACCTATATACTATATAGGTGTTTGAATTTTGAAAATTCAAAGAAAGAGGCCTACATAGTATATAGGCCTCTTTCTGGTCTAAAAGAATATAAAATGGATTTGCGTCGTGAGAATACGCCACTTGAAGTTGCACCTAATCTTTTCAGTCAGGGATTTTGATACAAGTGCGAACTGAATGCCGGAACAGCTGTTACAGTAGCGTTAGTGTCAGATATCCCTTCCACCTGTCCATTGTCACTTCTCACGCTCCGACACCAGCTGCGTGCTATGTTCAATAGGTCGGCAATGTACTATATCCCAGGTAATAACATCAGTCAGGACAGGAACGATGTCATCTGACGATGATCACGCAGAACGGGACGATGGCGTGCCCCAATATAGCGTATTAGGGTCTCCGCCATAACACGGGGCACATCACGCAACTAAATGCTAAAGATCATGGGTCAGATAAGCTAACCCAGCTCCATGAAAGCATTTGAACAGTTTCCTGACGGTCGTGCTATCCATATTGCAATACACATGCCGCAAGACGTTTAGTTTCGAATTCACATTTTGTTTTCAGCATGATACGTACATTAACATATCAATAATTCAAGATTTTTTATGTCCTCTAAGACCATGTGTCTCTGCCACTTTGCCTCTGCGTGCCTCTCCTCTCCCCACTCTACCTTGAGACTCCCATCTCTATTATCCAGCTTGTGCCTTGTTTACAAGACGTCGTCAGCCACAGACAAACAATATTACAACGACGATATAGGCAATGATGAAGATACATTATACCAACAATGAAGAGAGGATGGTGAAAACATGAGTACTTTTTACAAAAATGTAACAACCTCATGGATGTAAGGAGTAAAATTAAATCCCAACAGCGAGCTCACATAGAACTTAGAAGACACTCAAGAAAATGAGACTTTCTTTTCAATGACGAACGGAAGAGGATGCGGAGAAGAGAAAGGAGAAGCTACACTGCTTATGAAAAAAAAAACGGAAGAAGCGTCTGCAATGACCACGGGCACAAGCATAAGAAAAACATGCAGTTATCCTTTTTTCTAGCATCCCTTTAACCAAATGGGGCACACATGGGGAGCCGACGCAAAGGTCATTGCCCCGAACTGCAGAAGATTCATCTGCTTCTCTGAATCTGCATTTGCATCACACCTTGACCCTTTTCCTCCCCCACTCTAGCTTCCTGCTCCTCCACACTCTATCTCGACCCCTCTCCTCCCACTCTCCCTCGCTGCTCCCCTCCCCCACTCCACCTTGAGTCTACCGTCCTCCACTGGCGGTTGAGCGTACGGCACCCCGAGGAACACGGTCACATTGCCTCTCTCCCTGTGGACGCCGGATGGCAGGCTGGCCGGCCACTCGTCTGGTAACAGACCGGGCTGGTCGTACAGCGACACGCGAAACCCGGTGAGCTCTCCCAGCTGGGTGCGGATGGTAACCAGAGGCAGCTCCGGTCCCACGCCCGGCCGACGTTCGCCCTGCAGGTCCGGCCGCCAGCCGGCGCGAATGCCCACGTCGGCGTCGACGCATCGGTTCGGGTCGAAGCGGTCGTAGCCGACGTTGGTGGAGGCGTCGCTGGCGCGCGGCGGGCACTGGCGGCGTCCGCCGTTGCGGAACACGCTGGGCGGAGGCGTGGCGGGCGTCGGCGGCGGCGGGGTGGCCGCCCGCCACTGCCCGAAGCGGTTCACAGAGCCGTCCGCATTGTCTGCAAGTCCAGCGGCGACCGGGGATAACACACAGAGCACTGGCACAATCAGTATGTGAGGATGACGCAGATGAGGTAGAAATGGCGTGGCACGCGCCATTTTCCACACACGGTCACCGCGCGCGCACGGTCGCGGCGGCGCGTGAGCGCTTTCCAGCCGGTTCCACGCGCGAGGTCACGCTACACTGTCGTATACGGGCCCGCTACGCGACGCAGCAGGTTCCCCACCTGTCCGCTGGGCGGCGCTGGCGGCGCGACGGGTGCCCGCGTGACCTTGGGTATGGGAGCAGGTGTAATTCGCAGGAAGCCCGCATTATTTTACATGGCTGATGCAAGGAGGAGGGAGGGGAATGGACAGGAGAAAGCTGGACGACTCTCATGCGGGTATCAGAAGCTGCCGCTGTAAATTAATATTGGCTGAAATAGATAGCTGCATTTAAGATTCGAGACATGTAGGTTTGCTACATGTAGCATTCCACGTCAAATCGAACAAAAGTCGGCTGTTTTGCACCTTACCATCAGCGATTTCTTTATAAATTTGTGAGCGAGTTCCTGTGTGGCCCCGGATATTACATTGATGTTTTTTTTGCACATTCTGACCACAGGTCTTCTAAATATAGGGCATCAAATTTTTACAAAATGTTGCATCTTTATATTTTTGAACGACCATAACTTTGTTTTATTCAGGCCTCCCTCCAACGGGCACTTGTGGCCCAATTACAGGAGGGCTCCTCCTCCTCCTGGCCCTTGTTCCCCCACCCCCCAGGCTACGGCTGAAGTGGGAGCCTACCCCACACCTGGTGACACAGCCGGGGACGACGCCCGCGGAACGGGCGGAACCGGGAATCGAACCCGAAACCCAGCACCGCCCGCACCGCGGGTCGACGCCTTAACCCGCGAGTTGCTGGGGGGGGGGCGTTAAACGCCCCCACTTTTTTCGCCGGGCCATAGCATAAAAACGGCGCGCCGCAGGCGCGCCAAATTTTGGGTACCTGTAGGGAATTGATTGAAGTTTATTGTGACAAAGTTTCAAAAACATCGGTCGGAAAATTTTTGAGATATCGAGGTTTTAGTGACGTCATGATTTCTGAGTTTTCGACCAAAAAAGGCATATGTTCAAAAAATCATATAAAATCACAGAATAGACATACAGACATGCCGTAAACGCCATTAGACTGCCAATACCATGATCAATCAAATGGCTATCTTCGATTATTGATTATCGTTCCGCATTTTCCAAAATCTTGAACTGAATCTTGGCAATTTTTCGTGACTTCTTCACGACCATGATACATGAATTTCTTAAATTGAACTTTTTGAGCCAAACACGTACACATATGATAAAATGAATGTCACCATCGTGTTCTACGCCCCAAATTACCTATAAAACATGTGTCACAGGCTGCGAATATCAGTTTTGATTTTCGGGGATATGTGCTTACCTGGTTGACCTGACCTTGACCCTGACCTATGCTTGACTGACCCCTATATGGAGCTGACACTCTTGTAGGCCTTATAAGATGGATTGTGCACCGTTTTGACAGAGTTTATGGCGAGAGGCGCCCATTGCGAAGTCCTGAAGTCCATGCTCCTGAAAGGCCGATTTCAGGTATTTGACCTGACCTTGACCCGACCTGTGACCTCAAAATTCAACTTTAAAGTACTCATCTGAAGCGTCTCGTCGCGCTCTTTCGTTTGCCGCCCCGTGCGTTTCGCTGCGCCTATTGGTTCTCGAGTTATCGGCTGGGGGCGTTTAACGCCCCCCCCCAGCAAACGGTGGGTGGCGAAATACCCCAGCAACTGCCGGGTTAACCGACTGCGCCACCAGGGCCGCGAATTGAAATTTGCTTGCTTGAAATTTGCTTAACTCTGTTCTTAAGCACAAATATTGAAATAGCAAAAAACACGTCACCTTCGATTTTTGCTCATTTTCATATATTTTATTGCCTACCATATTCTTAACAACCTGTGAAAAAATTAGAGTGGGCCATTCATAAGTTTGGAAGAAAATTGCACATATGCAAACGTATGTTAGCACGCGCAGTGGAGGCGGAATAGCGAATTTCGCCCACCCCTCCTGTTTTTCGCCAATATCTCATAAGATTAATGCGAAATTAATTATGGCTACCTGTCAAGAATTGAATTGGACATCTCATCGTGCAAGCAATAAGAAAATCGGTTCACAACTGTTCTAGTAATAGCGGTGTAAAGTGAACATCCTGTCGCCGCAGCGACGCGGCGACTCGGCAGCCGGCGCCGACCGCTATGCGCCGCCTGAATTGTAGACTGTGCCGGGACGGCACGGAACGGTTCCGTTTTACATCGCGCTCCCTACCGCTGATTACATTCGAATTGCGTCAAATTTTGTGAGAAGACTAATAATTGTACAGGCAATCTTATGGTGAAAGAATTTTGAAAATCGGTTGATAAACAATTGAAATATGAACGTGTAAACACAAAATTGTGATTGCTGCGTTTCCCGCATCGGCCGAGCCCGCCTCAGCCGGCGACATGTTACTCTTAGCAGGCCTCTAACTGCCATATTTATATTTGGATTAACTAGAAATTCCCCATACATACTAAAAATGTATGTTCTTTCGTATAGTGAAGATCAAAAGATGTGAAGATATCGTTGTGTGATAATGTTTTCGTTGAATTTACTTCATGATGCATTTCCACACGGCTCAAAATTCACCGCAAAATACCGTTTGCCTGAGACACTTTTACTATGGAACGTGAATGCTTGACTACGATGACTATGCATTTCCATTCTCGCAGAGTTTGGGATATCACTAATCAGCAATCATTCATTTCAGAAAGTGTACACACTACACAAGCAAGCATGTCTTGACTCTGTCTTTCAAGGTCACGCGCGGTTGCGTGATGTTGATGCATGAAAACGGCGTTTGCCGCGAAAGTTATGAATGGCCCACTCCAATTTTTTCACAGATGGTTAGGAACATTGTGACGGACATAATATGTAAAAATTACCCAAATCGAAGGTGACGTGTTTTTTGCTATTTAAATTTTTCTGTTTTAATTCAAGGTCAAATGCATTTCAAGGTCACTTCAATTTAATTTTATAATTAAAAATCAAAGCCTTATCAATTGCCTATAAGACCTTGTTAATATCATTTTGATACCAGAAAAGGAACCAGAGTTATAGCCATTTATAAAATTGATGTGTGGCATTTTTCGCTATATTCGATGACCTATATCTCAGCGATACGTTATCAAATTTCGAAAATATTATACGCAACTCAGTTTTGAACCATGCCCAGTCTGCCTGCAAATTTTCAGAAAAATCGAAGGGGATGATGGATTTCGGTGTTTGATTTGACGTGGAATGCCCCACATGTCTCTATATATCTTGCTCTAGCAACCAAATTAATTGCCGGCGTCCGGTGCTCGGTATCATGCCCGCATGTAGCTGTTATACTTCCCGAGGCGCTTGTTACGTGGCTGGCAACGTTTGAATTTGAAAAAGCGATATTTATCTTGCGCACTGAAGCAAGAATGCTAGGAGGATGCTCAATGTTAATCTCATGTGCTTGCAAATCAAGGCATTCAGTAGAAATTATGCTGGCATTTATGGCGCAGTTGTTGGGCACAGATCAGCGGAAGTAAGGCTGAAACTTCCGTCAGTTAGGTATCTGCATGCGTAGTCTCCGTCCCTCTCAAGTCTCAGCACACCATTCCCACATTTGCAGCCGGCCCCGGTAGCATTCCATGTGAGCTCTTTTGAAGGTCTAATGCACCCTCTGGTAGATAACGCCAACCAGCGCCCTCCTGGATGTAAAGCGCCGTCCCTGGCGGCTGCCCTGTCAACTTTCGGAACAGTCAAAATCCCATAGCGTCAGATCTCGCGAATGCAGAGACCGTCAGATCATTTCGATGTTTCGGTCACCTGGAAATTGGTGATGACATGCGCCTTATTGAGAGGCTCGTCTTCTTGCTGGAGGAGGAGGCCGTCATCGGCCGGTCTCGGTCGCTTCTGCTGCAGAGAGGTGGAAGCAGCTTTTTCCGTATCAGGTCCTGGTCGTGGTCTTTAATCATTGCGGATCCTTCATTTCTGCAGTCTGGCCAGAACAATGTTTTACTGGTCCCATGACGATCCCGTCAACAAGCCATGCCGACGTGCTTCCAGTGCACTGGAAGTCTCCAGTCCTTCCAGTGCACTGCCAGTGCACTGCAGTGCATCGACTGCGTCTTCAACCCGAAATTCTGTTTAATCGGACTTCATCGACTCAAAACTCGACTGTGTTCAACGGCAGGGCCGCCAAACACTGGTTATCCTCGTCGGCTGAAGGCACGAGTGCCGCCCTGTCATTTTTTTCGTGATTGCTCGAAACGCGCTGGCGATAGGAAGCTGAAAGTTAGCACACCTGAGCTTTTATTCAAGCCGGATCTTGTGACATAAGCCACATTTTTAGGTCAGGTCGGGTCACTGACCTATGGCATTGCAAGTAAGCCTTTGCATGTTGCTGTTCCTAAAATATCGGAACTTTGCAATGCCCTCAGTACCAGAAGAGCTTTTAGGTATAGAAAGGTGAAAATTAGGGCAAGTCGTTCTCGTGATTTCACCATTCGGTCAATGGGAGTAAGATGAAAACTCATTTAGCAATACCGGAAATGGACTACGAGAAGCCTGCAGCACAGAAAATCATAATTTTATGGATTCTTTGCAAGGTCCAGTACTTAACTTGCGCATTGCTGACCTAACGTGACGTCATTTATGACGTCACCAAGGCATTCAAAGTTTCTCGTCTATAACCCCTTTCAAATGAAACTAGCGAGAAGGGAAAGCCACCAACGGACTCGGACAGTGGGCACCCTTTGTTGACCTCATCCTCAAAACAAAAACTATATCAAACGACGCGCCTGAACATGACGAACACACAATTTAGAATTGGGTACCAGTTGCTGCGTCTCGTGACGACACACACGCTCTTTTCTTCGCGAGGCTCTAGCTCAGTTAAGGGCGAACTGCGTGAGGGGGCGAACTTCCCGATTAGCCGCTTAGTACTCAGAAATCCGATAGTTATGATAAGTGTAAAAATATATTTTTTTGGAGATCTCTAATGCGCACTTCCCGTTTCGTAATCATAATAATCATAATAACATTGCATTTACCGTCCCGAATAGGTACACGTGACAGCTTCTAAC